ATACTATGGCATATCCAAAAGAAAACCAAATAAAGTCATTTTCTAGGCTGAAACTTTCAGGTGCAATTATTGCTTGAAAAAAAATAATAGCCTCATTCATCATATGAATAGAGCAACTGAAGATACATGGATTTTAAGATACTTTCAGGAACTTCTGACAGGAAAGAAGATAGAATTTGATTGTGGTTTCCTACAAGTAATGTAAATAGAATATTTCAGGATTTCTGTGAATGAGTAGAACAATTCTACTATTGACAACTTAGGCAACAGGGAAGTATACACATTTAATAATAATAAAATACCTGCATACTATTACTTCAACAAGAATTTTCCTCAATATAAGAAAATGTTCAAATAAATCTACAGCAACAATCAAAATTAATCATAAATAAACTTTTCATCTAAAGAACAAATACCAGCTGAAAGTTCTTACTTCCAAATTCACACAGAAACCCAGATGCACACTTATACAACCTAGTTATCAATTAGTTCAGAATTTAAAGAAAAAGAGAGAGAGATTCCCTGAATGCTTTGAAGATTCATGCTTATATCTATTCTTTTTGGTCAATTTTGGTGTACTGTAAACAAACTAAAAAATTTACAATGGTAGTGGGATGTTAGCTGCTGAAATCCTCTTTCATGTCATCACTCACAATGGTTGTTTTTTTTGGGGGGGGGAAATAAAGCATTTCTGATTCCCCATCTTCCACAGAATTTGAGGATCTCATGGGCTTATTTTCATTATGGTGAAGTTGTGAAGGGGCGGCAGGCCGAGGGGAAGTCTTTAATTTCCAAAAACTGTTGCCACAATTTGACTTGTGACTTTACTAACAGCAGCTGTTTCAAAGAATTAAAGACTTATCCCCATCCTGTGGCCCCCAACAGTTCCCAACACTGAAAGGATCCCATGGGAACCTTGGAAATAATGAGAATTTATTTATTTATTTAAAAGAAATCACCACAGCTAATTATATCATCAGCCTTATACAGCACTCCTCTGCAAACACGATTCTGGCAATGAACTTGTTCAGTTCAGTTCATGAGTACCAACTAATGAGGAGTGAGCTACTTGTATAAATTAATGAATAATATGCTACTTTTAAAAATAATTCTTCTAAGCTCTACACTCAAGATTTCTTGACAGATAACAGACAGCTAATTCTAAACATGTTTGCATGGAATAGTAGTAAAAAGCAAAAGCCTTGATTTTAAAAAAGTTACATAGCTCTCTTGGATCATTGCACTTGGTCAATAAAAACTAATTTGCTATTCATTGACCATAATCTTTTCAGTGTGGATTTAGAGCTAATAGATCCACCATCGACATGGTATTTTCCCTCAGACAGTTGCAGGAGAAATTCAGGGAACAACAGCCACTCTTTGTGGCCTTCATAGATCTTACAAGGGCCTTTTATTTGTGGTTAGAAGGGACAGCCTTTTAAAAATACTTCCTAAGATTGGATGTCCACCTCGGCTTCTTAACATCATCAGATCCTTGATTACTCAACATCAGCTCCCTCTGACATTCGAAGTGGAGTGAAACAGGGCTGTGTCCTCGTGCCAACTCTGTTTGGGATCTTTTTTGCTGTCATGCTGAAGCACGCTTTCGTAACCGCAACAGAAGGTGTCTATCTCCTGACTAGAACAGATGGAAAGTTCTTTAATTTCTCTAGATTGAGAGCGAAGACCAAAGTCCAGCTGAAATGCATGCGGGACTTCCTCTTCGCCGATGATGCAGCTGTTGTTGCCCATTCTGCCGAAGACCTCCAACAACTTATGAATCATTTTAGCAAGGCCTGCCAAGATTTTGGATTAACAATCAGCCTGAAGAAAACACAAGTTATGGGTCCGGGCGTGGACTTACTTCCCTCTATTACCATCTCCACACTAGAATTGGAGGTTGTTCATGATTCTGTGTACTTGGCTCAACGATTTTTGACACACTCTCGCTAGATGTCGAGCTGAATAAACGCATTGGCAAAGCAGCTACCATGTTCTCTAGACTCACAAAGAGTATGGCTTAATAAGAAGCTGACAGCATATACCAAGATCCAGGTCTATAGAGCGTGTTTCCTGAGTACAGTCCTGTAGCGCAGTGAGTCCTGGACCCTTTGTGCATGGCAGGAGAAAACGTTGAACACGTTTCATATGCATTGTCTCCTACACATTTTTGGTACCACCTGGCAGGACAAAGTTCCAAATAGAGTAGTCCTGGCACAAGCTGGAATGTTTAGCATGTATACATTACTGAAACAGTGATGTCTACATTGCCTTGGGAATGTCATGAGAATGGCTGTTGGTCGGATTCCAAAACACCTCCTGTATGGAGGATTAGTGCAGGGAAAGTGCCCCAGGGGGAAACCACAGCTGCAATACAAGGATAATTGCAAGCAGGATCTGAAGGCCTTAGGAATGGACCTCAACAGATGGGAAACCTTGACATCTGAGCATTCAGCCTGGAGGCAGGCGGTGCAGCATGGCCTCTCCCAATTTGAAGAGACACTTGTCCAGCAGGCCAAGAGGCAGTCCCGAAACCAGCAAAATCAGGAAGCCGGACAGGGGACAGATTATATTTTTCTTCAGTGTGGAAGGGATTGTCACTCTCAAATTGACCTTCTCAGCCACACTAGATGCTGTTCCAGGACCTCTATTCAGAGCACGTTACCATAGTCTCTTGAGACTGAAGGACGCCGGCAATCTTTTCAGTATTATCATACAAAAACTGATATGCCAATTCAAAGGTATTTTCTCAAATACTTAATGGATCGAAGCTCAATGAAGAACCTGTTCAGCCTCCTTGTCACAAAACAAAGATTCTACATACCCCTGAACAGGTGGACATAATGATGGTCCAGCCCTGTGGGGCCGGACAGTCCACTCACCGATCTGCCACTACTGCAGGTGCCACAGCGCCTTCCAATGGCTCCGGAGATTGTATTCGGCTTGCCACTCCTGGCAGGAGGCAGAACAACAAGCCTCTATGTTAGGTCGGAGAGTGGCTCACCGAATGCAATCTCTGGAGCCATCGGAAGGCTTTGCGGTGCCCACACCCATGGTGAATCAGTGAGTGGACTGTCCAGCCCCATGGGGCTGGACTCTCATTTTTATTAAACTTATATACCACCCATCTAGAGTATATGAACACAAATAGCCCCATCTCTAGTCAGTACTGTAGGAACAGTGCTGTACTACTCATTTAAGAGTTCAAAACTGAGTTGCTTCAGTCTTCCAGTCTGGAGCTCATGGGTATACAGACTGAAGAGAGTTTTCCTGCCACCCTGACATTTGATGGGAATGGCAGTGCTCATATGGACCAATTAAGACATGGCTAATACATCAGTAGGCATGTAAATTCATTAGGATTCTACTTTAGCAACAAGATCAACAGAAAAAGATTATCTTCTGAACTAAAGAAAGGAAACATTAATCTAACAAGTGTCACACTCCATAAAGGACCCCTAGCTCATTTTCATCATAAAAAAGGGTGGGGGATTCCCCCATGTGATCTCTGATTGATGGCAGAGTATAGATTTCTTTCCATTGAGGGGATGATCAGGAGGCTCGTCATGATGATTCACAGCTAGGCTCCGAGAAACTCCTGGGAACTCTAGAGCAGATTGTTCCCCTAAATATTTCATTTAGGAGGAGATAAAACAAATCAGTTTAACTCCCCATTTGTACTTTCTAAGACCTCTTGGGAATGATTGCAGTGAGTGGTTAGTTCCTTTCTCCAAGCAGATGCAACAAAATGAATGAAGCTGAGCCCTTGGCCAAAGTGTCAGATGTGGGAGGTCTAGCAGCACACGATTTATTATTTTATTTATTAAACTTATATACCACCCATCTAGAATGTGTCTACTCTGGGCAGTTTACACAAAATTTAAAAAATAAACTAAGAAGGTATAAATGAACTAAAGATACAACCCAAATTAACAGCAGAATCCAGGATGAAAAAAGAAAAATAGGCTAGATGATGAATGTAGGGAAGGCCTTCCTGTATAGCCATGTGTTCAGAATGACCTTAAAGGCCCTCAGTGAGAGGACCAGGTGGATCTCTGCAGGTAAATTGTTCCAGAGACTGTTTCAGCACTACCTAGTGCTTTAACTCCAAAGAGGCATTGAGAAGCAAAGGTACAATGATACTATTAATGAACACAGATGAGCATCCTAGAAAAGACCCCCCCCAAAGAATAGCACTATAGAATCCCATTACTCAAAAATATTATATCAAAACAAATTGGGACTTTTACTTTCACACAAGAATGCACTGTCATATCTAGTGTCACCTTAAGGCTTGTCTAATTAGAATCTGTTGCCTAATTACTCAAATGAATGTCACAAAAGACCATCAAGGTCATAAAGCTGAATGTCCAGTGTCAGCAGTATATCACTGAATACTATCTGATGGGGAACAACAAGAACGATACTACTGTCAGGCCCTGCTTCCCTGAAGCTTCTGGTTGTCCACTGTGGAAATCTCGACTGAGTTTCACTCTGATCCACCAGAGCTGTTCTTATATTCTTAATATTGGTCTATACATGGTATAAAGTCAAACTCTACATTCTTTGCTACAAAATACTATTACTATTACTTCAAAATATGTAAATTCACTGGCAAAAGGAGACTGCTAGTCTGAGATTATTTTGTTGTGGATGTTACATTAGTTAAACTATTCCACCAGTTTACAGTATACCATAAGTGTTTACACAAATCCTGAGCTATAACATATTTTCACATAACTATTCCAGTTTGGAAAGAATGATGCACTGTCAATGTCTGCAAAATCTCTGAGAAGCAATTCTGTATTTTAAGATCAAACAGAAACCACTGCAGATCTTATATTAAATTGCAGAGAATATTAAGTTAAACAAATTACTGTTCCACGGTCTCTTGGTGGTTAAATGTAACCAGGAAAGTAAAGCTTGTGTATTTTAAAACTGTGTGTTTAGCACAGAGGGAAACATTAAAAGGGACAAGCTTATTACTCAACTATACTGACCTGTCTGTAAGTTCCTTCTAACAAGGTGTCCAGATGTTGAAGAGGAGCTGGTGTTCTATCTTTAAACCGAGCCAGGAGACGTCGTTCAATAGCTCTAAATTGTATGGCCCTTTCAGACAACAGTTGTTCATATTTTACACCATTCAAGCGCAACTGTAATTCAGAAGTTTTTTAAAAGAAAGATTTAAGTTATTTTGGAATGGAAAAAGATTGCATATTTATAATAAACAGGTAGACAACAATCATATTTTTGAAAGCTTTAGTGCATTAATTCAGTTGTGTGACCAATTTGAAAACTGGTAATTTCACACTCATCAAGAGATCTATTAACATACTAAAATAGTGCCAGCTACTATCAACATTGAAAATAAATGCTGACAGTCAAAGATATCTAAAACAATGTTTGAGAATCTTGCCTTGAGTTTTGGAGCTGGAGGTGAAGCTGAAGTTGCAAATACACAGCAAGGGAAATGTGAATTCATTTGCGTTCTCTTACTGTGAAGTTGCACAGGGGGATTTTGCACAGGGGGATTTGGGTTTCTCTAAGTGGGCATCCAGTTCTTTCAGGAAGAGTCTTGGTATTGCATTTGTATCTGAAGCACCTGCAGGTGGCCTGGCTCCAAAGAACTGCATTAAAAAGGCTTTTCCTTCTACCATTTCCTCACCTTATATTGCAGGTGGCAGGAGAGCTCACTAAACTGTGAAATTAATTGACTGATTAATTAATTAATAGAAGCTCTCACTACCCAGGGGGAGCTGTTAAACAGGGTCCTGAAAAAGAGACTCTGCAGGGAAAAGTGAGTGCTGTTGCTATTTGTGTATGTGTTTCTGTGTGCGGGCTCTCACCTCATCCTCCCTCCTGAGGCAAGAGACAAGGGGGAAAGAGCCTTGTCAAAGCACCACTTCATATATATGCTTTGTTGGTCTTTTCTTTCTGCATCATTACAAGAGATCACACACTCTGAATCAAAGTGAAAGGATCCAACTTTTTAAAAAGTAGAAGGGTCTCTGGTGGGGAGGAAAAACTATTGACTGGGGGCATGGGACTCCAGGCTGATTCACATTTCCTTTTGTGTCTTGTGATCAATGGGAAAAATGAATGAACCCACCTATAGGCTTTAACACCTATAGTATTTCCCATATTTTCCCCCATGTAAGTCATCATGACACAGTATTTCAATGTACAGTGGTGCCTCGCAAGACGATGTTAATTCGTTCCATGAAAATCGCTGTCTTACAAAAACATCGTCTTGCAAAACGAAAAAGCCCATTGAAATGCACTGAAACCGGTTCAATGCGTTCCAACGGGCTGAAAACTCACCGTCCAGCGATGGGGGAGTCCGTTCTGAAAACACAGCGGGGAGCCATTTTGCACAGCGGGTGGCCATTTTAGAACCGCCGATCAGCTGTTTCTAAATCGTTTAGCGAAAAATCGGTTCCCGAAGCAGGGAACTGATCATTAAGCGAATTTTCCCCATAGGAACGTCATTTTGCGATTGCAAAAGCAATCACAAAAACTTCATCGTCAAGCGGTTTCGTCATTTAATGAGGCACGTTAAGCGAGGCACCACTGTACTAATTCTGCAGCATGTATGCCAAATGTATGAAATCTGCACTAAACAAGAAATGAGTTGCTACTTTTTAGAACATTACAGCTGCAACTGTATACCTATTAATGTGCTGCGGGTTAAACCACAGAAGCTTCTGTGCTACAGGGTCAGAAGACCAGCAGTCGTAAAATCGAATCCATGCGACAGAGTGAGCTCCCGTCATTTGTCCCAGCTCCTGCCAACCTACCAGTTTGAAAGCATGTAAATGCAAGTAGATAAATAGGTATCACCTCGGTGGGAAGGTAACGGCATCCCGTGTCTAGTCGCACTGGCCACGTGACCACGGAAACTGTCTTCAGACAAATGCAGGCTCTATGGCTTGGAAACGGGGATGAGCACCGCACCCTAGAGTCAGACACGACTGGACTAAATGTCAAGGGGAACCTTTACCTTTACCTAAGCCTCACTTTACTCAACTGGATGTATTTCTGAGTAGACATGTACGGGATCACAATTTAATGTGTTGTGCTCTATCTTGAATGACAAAGTTCTGTGTTCATAGCTAGATAAGATTTAAAACACATCTTACCTTATAATCCTATATATTTATAATCTAAAGTAAACATAATTGAATTGCATAGAATTTACCTCCAGATAAATATGGCATGGAACTGCAGTTGTAACTATATGTCAGCCATCACTCCAATACAAAAATTCATATGGATTCATATCATATTACAGTGGGATCTTGACTTGAGAACTTAATCCGTATTGGAAGGCAGTTCTCAAGTCAAAAAGTTCTCAGGTCAAATCTGCATTTCCCATAGGAATGCATTGAAAACCATTTGATCCGTATCGGCTCTTTTCCGTCCATAGAAACTAATGGGAAGCTGCTATTCCGCCTTCGACCACTAGAGGGGGAATATTTTGTTTCTTTTTTTTTCCTTAGGTAAAGAAAGGTTCAGGGAAGGCAGGGAAAATACAGTCCAGGCAGTACAGTACCAGGCAGTCTGAAGACTGTCTCCCAATCCACTCTCTAAACGCTGGGAGGAGTGAGGAAGCAGACAGGCACCCTTTTCACTGGCCAACAGTTAACTGAAAGTTCAAATTTTGCATTTTCCCTGCCTCCCACGAGGGTTTTTTTCAGTTCTTAACTCAAATCTAAGTATGTAAGTCAAGTCAATATTTTCCTATGAGAGTGGTTCTTAAGTCAAAATGTTCTTAACTCGAGCCGTTCTTAAGTCAAGACCCCACTGTACTTTGTACAGTCAATCCCACTATGTCATTTTGAATTTACATATAGATATACAGAGTAAGTGCAGTTTTGTGTTGCTGTTGATATTGTGATGATCTATGGTTTTAAACAATAAAGCTTGTTCTGTTCTGCAAGTTCCCACTGGAGTGGACCCACTGAATCTGCACCTCAAGTCAGCTCCTCGATACTTTCCATTAATTCAAATGGGCCTATGGTAGTTGCTACTTACTGAAATCCAGAAACCACAATTAGAGTAGGTTCATTGAATCAATGGAACTTATAGACAAGTTTGCTCACCAAATTCCCACTGATTCATTGGGCCTACTCTAGTGTGACTTACTAAACTAAACTGCTGTGTAAAATTATTTTAACACTGGAAATTCAAAACACTTCCTGAAAAAGATTTTTGAGAAATCTTAACATATACATCTTTAGTTTGCCAAAGATCATTAGAGTAAGCATGGCAAATTAAGCAGTGAACTAATTGAGAAACCCTATGCAGAACTGGGTTAGAGGTATTGTTCTTTTTGCTGACCCGTACAGGGTATTCCTTCATAACATGGAGAAAAGTGAGAGGATCATTACAGCATTTTGTGAGGCCCAGATAAACAGCCACTGTGAGTCTACTTAATATCTGAAAAACTCTAGGGCTTGAATTTTTGTGGAACTCTGGCTACTGTTAATAAAACTATTCCCCATTTGTGGATTTTGATTATTTTCCCATGGAGTAAGTCCTTATGGTCACAAGTGTAGGCTTTAATTCACAAAAACAGTGCTCCCATATACAATATAAGCATAATGATATAATACAAACTATTATGAAAACAACTCAAAACAACTCAAAATACCAACTGAACAAATTCAAGTACAAACACAATTACAAAACCACAAATATTGATATGTATACCTCAAAATGTTGATCAATTATTTCAAAATATTCTTGTAATGGGATTGGGCCAGAAAATGTACATGCAAAGTCTTTGCAATTTTGTTTTCTAAAATGTTCTTCAAGACGAAGAGTGAGTTCTTTTGTAACCAGCCAAAGGTCTTCTAATCTGTCACTCTGAATTCTGTAACGCTCTTCAAAATTAAAGCAAAACCAAGATTAGTAGCTGAAACACTAATAATGTTGAAATTTTCCTTTCTACTGAGTAACTCATATGTGCAATTTCTACTCAGCTGCATTTGTATTTTGGTACCATTAGTATCTGCTCATAACTTATTAATGTGCTCTTCACAATTTATTCTACATACAGACAACACCTGGATGGAATAAAATAGTAACTACAGGTACTCTAAAGACTTAACACTACATTTTGCTTCTGCTACATCGAGAATATTAAGAAGCTCATAATAACGCATTTACTGTATGGTTTTCGTCAGGTCATGTATATGCAAAGAGAAACTCAAGGCTGCCCTTAGCATCACTTCTAAAATACACAAATTCTTAGAAAGTGTAAAAAAAACAAGTAATGAAGTTATACCTACATTACTTATTTGCATGTCTTAAATCTTTTTTAAAAAGTTAACAATAGGTGATAAACCAATATCATGATGGGCATAACAGCTGTGAATCCCTATCACCAAAAATACTCAAAGAAAAGAAAACAGAATACATTGATAGAGAATAACATTAAAATGATAATTGGTGGAAGGATGTTGCCTAATTAATCTTCAGCATAAGTTGCTTTCTTATTAGTTCATGATTAGGAGGACAAGGAAACAAAGATTACTTTAAAAATTGTAAAATAATGGCAACCAACTGTGGGGGGGCAGACTTGAAATTAGAAGGATACAATAAGTTTAATGTTTATTACTTTATTTTTTTAAAAAACTGTTAAAATATAAATAAAATTGTTCTTAACTCTGTGGGTAGAAGAGGGGTTGTAATTATTTAGAAGAAAAATCTAGACACGTTAAAGGCACAGCTATGGTGATTGTGCCATTACTGCTGTTGAGAACGTTCAAAGACCTTATTTTAGATACTTTTAAGCTTTAACTTATTCATTTCAGTCTGCATTTTTATATTTCATCAGCCTTTGAACACACCACTTACATTTTTTCTCTCTGCAGCCATGTGAAAAGCACAGAAATTTCGCAAACGGAAATGCCAACTGCACTATGAAAGGGGTGGCACTATAGGCGCAATGTGCCCTGGGAAAACCCTTTCGTAGTGCAAAAAGAAAAAAGAAAAACAACATAAACCAGGGCTTTATTTCTTATGGATTTCAGTTCATAAACCAAAAATTACGTAAACTGAGGCGTTCACAAACCGAGTTACTACTGTATATGCATACAACTTGAGGATAGTAACATTTCAAGCATCACATGACTTCTAGTCCATGGAAGCATCCACTATCATAACTGTGCTAATTTTTCTTTTCTTTTCTTTCTTTCTTTTTTGAAATATGTACACATTTATTGACAATCCTTGGAAATAACAAAAAGCATTATAGGGATTATGATATAAAATGTATAACCCAATACCCATTAAAGCACGAACACAACAAAAACGGTTATAGTGATAATAATACAAAACTTATAACCCAATACCTATTAAAGTACAAACACAACAGTCAGTAATACAATCCATTCCTATAATCCACTAACACATGCATTCTATCAAGCTTAAAAGACAGCAGACTAGTACTCCACCCAACATCTCAAAATGCTGTCCTCACTATTTAACTCCAGACCAATAACCTACAAATGGTGACAACTTTTAATGAAATTATATTCTTATCTCTCCTCTAAGTAGTCTAACACAGTCATTTTCCCCATCAGTGCTATGCTCACATCCTATCCAAATATATTCAGAATGAAAGTTCTTGATTATTTTTCCAAGTTTGGGCAATTTCAGTTATCACAGCCCTTACAAAGATCACCACAAACTCTTTATCAGATAAATTCTCATTATCTCCAGTGAATAATGAGATTAGTAAAGTTTCATTAGGGATTATTTCTGGCTGTGTTAACTTCCCCAATAATCGGACAATCAAACGGGAGATTGACAGGTTACCCACCTGTAATTGTAGTTCTTCGAGTGCACCTCTGTGATTCCATGGATGATCTGTGCCTGCACACAGACAGTTCTAGAGCTTCTGCATTAAGAAAAAAACATTAGAATAAGGCCCCTCCCCCCTCGTATAAGTACCTTGGTGCCAAGGCTCCCCTTTTCACGTGTGTCAAATGCCGCTACATTAAGCAGAATGGCGTGGCAGTGGGGAGGACAGGCGGGATGTGTGAATCACAGAGGTCCACTCAAAGAACTACAATTACAGGTGGGTAACCTGTCGTTCTTCTTCATGGCCTCTGAGAATCAACCCTGGGTGACTAAAAAGCTGTCTTACCCAGAGGAAGGGTGTCACGCCAAGGTAGAGACTAGAAAAGCACTTCCAAAGGCCACATCAGACTTCTGCCAGAGATCAAGTCTATAATGCTGGATGAAAGTGGACGGCTGTGCCCAGGTGGCAAAGGCACAGATGTCTGGAAGAGGTATGCTGTGTAAGAATGCCGTAGAGGTCTCCACTGCTCTGGTGGAGTGAGGGTGAATCAACTTTGGGACTGGTTTGCATGCCAGCTGATATGTGAGGTGAATGGTTGAAGCGACCCATCTGGATATAGTTTGAGACACCACGTGACGACCTTTAATAGGTGGTTGGTGACTTATGAAAACTCAAGGTGAACGCCTGAAAGGTTGGGTGCGTTGGACATAAAAGGCAAGGGCTCGCCTAACATCTAAAGTATGGAGGATGCTTTCTTGAGTTGTGGATGGTGATGGGAAGAAGGAAGGAAGAAAAAATGGCTGAGAGAGATGGAATTGAGATACTACTTTCGGGAGGAAAGAAATATCCATGGATAGTTTGAATTTGTCTGGAAAAAAAATGTAAATACAGTGGTGCCTCGCTAGACAGTTACCCCGCATGACAGTTTTTTCGCTAGACGTTGACTTTTTGCGATCGCTATAGCAATTCGCAAAACAGTGATTCCTATGGGGGAATTTCGCTGGACAATGTTTGGTCCCTGCTTTGCAAACTCATTTTCGCAAGACAACAATTTTGACAGCTCCCGCCGCGCTCACAAAACAGGTGTTTTCGGGACCTAAGCTTCACAAGACAGCGATTTAAACAGCTGATAGGCGGTTCGCAAAGCGGCTTTCCTATGGCCAATCTTCGCTAGACAACGACGACTCTTCCCCATTGGGATGCATTAAACAGGTTTCAATGTATTCCAATGGGGAAATGCTTTTTGCTAGACAATGATTTTGCTAAACAGCGATTTCAGTGGAACGGATTATCATCATCTAGTGAGGCACCACTGTAAGACCACTAAATCAATAGCTTGTTGAGCTGAGGTGATGGCGATGAGGAAAACTGTTTTAATGTAGCCATAAATCAGTTGAAGCTAAAGGCTTGAAAGGACCTTTAGTAAGTTGTACAGTACTAGTGTTAGTGACCATTGCAGGGAAGGCAGGTGAGTATCTGGGTAGATATGAGATAGACCTTTAAGAAAATGTTTCAATCTTGGATGCTTGAAGAAATGAGCTGCCGGAGAGTTAGGGGGCTGATAAAAAACTATGGTGGAGAGGTAAACTCTCAAGGAAGAGAGGGAAAGGCTGCTAGACTTGAGATGAAGCAAAAAATGTACAACAGTAGCAAGTGATAGTTTGATAGAAGGCAATACAGAAGCTTCAGAGAAAGATTTGAATCTGTTCCATTTAAGTTGGGCGGCGAGTTCTAGGGTGACCCTTAAAAGAGTGTGAGGAGGGTCTGTGAGCGAGTCGAAAAAGGCAAGAAACCATGACTGAAAAGATCTCATCTTGAGACTTGTATGCTGCACTACTGAAGTCATGGAGGCCATGGTGCCTAATACACGTTGCACAGTCAAGGCGGTACCATAGCATGAGAGGTGAAAACCTCAAGTAATCTGATGAGATTTTCTCTCTTGTCTGGAGGAAGGAAAGCATGAGCTTGTGTGAAATCTATGCATGCGCCTTTATAATTAATAATCTTTAAAGGTTTCAATTCTGATTTTTCTTCATTGACAGCGAGCCTGAGATAGTGAAGGAGGATAAGGGTGAACTGAGTGTCTCATCGGGCCTTGCAACAGGAATGAACTGCAAGGAGCCAATCATTGATACATGGAAATATGAGAATTTTTTGCAACCTGAGGTAAGCAGCTACTGGTGCCATAGACTTGGTGAATACTCCTGGAGCTGTTGCAAGTCTGAAAGGAAGTCTTTTGAATTGGTAGGCTTGAAATTGAAGGAATTTTCTGTGTGAGGGATGTATGGAAATATGGAAGCATGCATCTTTGAGACCTATGACAGTGAACCAGTCATTTTTGTGGAGTAACGGGAGAACTGATTTGAGGGTAACCATACTTTGTGGCACTGTTGTATTTGTTTAACTTTCATAGGTCTAAGATAGGGCGAAGACCCCCATCCTTTTTGGGTACGGTGAAATAGCAGGAGAAAAAAACTTTGTTGTGTTGTGGGATGGGTTGTATGGCATCTTTTAGGACTAAACTTTTTATTTCCTCTTGTAGGGTTGGAGATGGTGGAGTGATGACATGTGTTGCTGGAGGAAGTTGGAAGAAACAGATGCAGTAGCCGTCGCGGATGATGGACAGTACCCAGGCATTGTAGTGATGGATTCCCAGACAGGTAGGTGTTTCCAGAGGGCAGGATGGGTGGAGTGGTGTGTGAACTTGGTCATGGGAGCGCCAAACCTGATATTTGGGCTTGTGGTTGTTGCGCCTAGTAATGGGTTATTGGCGGGGTATATTTCTTTGATTTCTGAAATAGGATGTATAAGATGCTTGTTTTGGAGGATCACGTTGGAATTTTTTATATGAGTTGTATGGTTGTCTCCATTGATTTTGTTGGGGGCATTGTTGGTAAGATGGATAAACTCCCCAACGTCTAGCTGCTGATCTTTTCTTTTGCACGTTTTCCAAAATATCATCAGTTTCAGCATTAAAGAGGCCTGCACCATCAAATGGAAGGTCTTTGATACATGCGTGGGCATCCTCAGTCAGGCCAGCTGTCCTTAGCCAAGAGAAACATCATAAGGCTACTG